TACATTTTCTGATGCATATTGATGTCCTTATACTGTGTAGAAAGTTTAAGCCGATTCTGACTTCAATTTTTTGAGTTATAGTCGTATTAAAAAATGTGCCAATTTTTGAAAAAATCCCTGTACTATAGCCCATGATTTTTCCAAAAAATTGCTCCGAAATCACCCTGAATTTTTATTACATTTTCTGATACATATTGATGTACTTATGCTGTGTAGAAAGTTTGAGCTGATTCCGGCTTCAATTTTTCAAGTTACGGCCATTTTAAGGAAACGTCAAAATTCTAAAACATACCCTGTACTATAGCCCATGGTTTTTTCCAAAAAATTGCTCCAAAATCACCCCCAATTTTTATTACATTTTCTGATACATATTGATGTACTTATGCTATGTAGAAAGTTTAAGCAGATTCCGACTTAAATTTTTTAAGTTACGGTCATTTTTAAAAATTGGCCATTTTCTGAAAAAAACCATGGGCTATAGCCCATGGTTTTTTACAAAAAATGGCTCCAAAATCACCCCCAATTTTTATTACATTTTTTGATGCATATTGATGTACTTATACTGTGTAGAAAGTTTGAGCCAATTCCGACTTCAATGTTTTAAGTTATGGTCATTTTTTTTTAATTTGCAAATTTTTGAAAAAATCCCTGTACTATAGCCCATGGTTTTTTCCAAAAAATGGCTCCGAAATTACCCCCAATTTTTATTACATTTTCTGATACATATTGATGTACTTATACTGTGTAGAAAGTTTGAGCCAATTCCGACTTCAATGTTTTAAGTTATGGTCATTTTTTTTAATTTGTAAATTTTTGAAAAAATCCCTGTACTATAGCCCATGGTTTTTTCCAAAAAATGGCTCCGAAATTACCCCCAATTTTTATTACATTTTCTGATACATATTGATGTACTTATACTGTGTAGAAAGTTTGAGCCAATTCCGACTTCAAGGTTTTAAGTTATGGTCATTTTTTTTTAATTTGCAAATTTTTGAAAAAATCCCTGTACTATAGCCCATGGTTTTTTCTGAAAAATGGCTCTGAAATCACCCCGAATTTTTATTACATTTTCTGATACATATTGATGTACTTATGCTATGTAGAAAGTTTGAGCTGATTCCGACTTGAATTTTTCAAGCTCTACATATTTTGTGCAGCTCATGCTTTTTCAGAAAAAATGGCTTTAAAAAACCTACAATTTTTAATATCAAATTGATATTAATATTTAATGTACACATACATGCATTAGGTGGTGCAGGTGAGAAAGACTTAATTGGTCTAACAGAATCAGGTCAAGTTGTTTTCCATTCGTCATTGGCTGATGTGGACGATGAACTAAAATTGAGCAAAAAAATGTTACAAAGGTAACAAATTATACTTAGAAGACCCATAAAATAATAAACTGTCTATGTAAAATAATAATAATTATGTACATGTACATGTTTATACTTATTTTATACATGCTACTTAATTTTGCAATTTTCTAAAATTAAATTTGTAAAAAAGTAATACATGTACAATTGCATTTACATTTATTATGCATGATTTGTGCAAAATATTTTAAAAATAGCTATTGTATTAATTAATAATAAGCAATTAATAATAATTCATTAATAAGAAATTAGTCCAATTACCTTGTATTATTGATGTATTGCCAAGAAAATGTGTACCCTATGCAGCATATTATTAAACTTATCCTTTACAATGTGTAGGACACCTCATTTTAAGATGCACTCCAATCTGTTGGATAGTCACGTGTACATTGTGAGCAGGTGGGTTCTTGATTATATGCAGGAACACCTCAAGAATGCTCTCTCATTTAAAAGAGAAGTATTACCTCATTTGTTGAAGAACCAGGACTCAAAAAGTAAGAGAGAGAGAGGGAGGGGGGAGGGAGGGGAT